TCTAGATCTTGGCATTTTTAAAAAGCAGTGGTCAGTTAGCTTGTAAAATATCCCTCAATTTGACTTTGTCTGATGTTTCCTCTGGGTTAGATTCAGATGACGCATTTTTGGCAGAAGCAGTGCTTCGGTCAGGAGGCACATGTCTGTTTATCCCAGCATTGGGTATGTGAACTTTAATCACTTTGTGAATGTGTGGTATATTCTAGGTTTCTTCAGTGTGCTGTTGCTGCTTTTCTCTTTGTAATTAATAAGTAACTTGTGGGGAGATTGAGACTTTGTAAATATTCAATTTCTTGTCAAACTTTCACTTACAAGTTTTAGTATTCATGTATGTTTTTTTAGGTCCTTCTGTATCTATTAGCAGGCACTCTCTTGTAAGGAAAAGCTCTCCCTTCTCATTGTTTTTGTATTGCTCAGTATGGGTCATGGATGCTTATTCAGGGAGTTTTAATGTATTATATTTTTGTTGCTTTAGTTGTCCAAAATTTGACGGGTGGGAGCCTCTTCAAACTGGTTTCTCTTCATTCGGTGTTCTTTTGCTGTGTCCTCATCATTACTTGAGTGCTTCCTTAATTTCTGGCAGGATATTTGCTTTTTAGAAATCATTTTTCTCTTTGTTTGGAAAAAGAGCACTTTTTTGCCTCCCCCCACCCTAGCAAGAAGTGTGGATGTAATACTTCCCTTTACAGAACATCACCGAAACGTCTGTAGTCAGTCATTATACCCAAAAATGTGACCTTAAGTAAGTCTCATTTGTTTATTTTTAAACTCACATAATTTTTCTTGCTGTTTCTGTGAAATCAAAGAGTAGCAGCTTGTCTGTTTGTAGCTCAGGGACAGAATAGCATTGGGTGAGATGGTTCACAGTATTTATTGATACTGCCAGTGTCTAAAGCATTCCACCTGGACCTGGAGAGAATCACAAAAGAGAGCAGAAGATGAGAGCATGTCTCTGCTCTCAAGGATGGCAGGATTCAGTGGAGAAAGACAAGACTGTACTGCACATGGGAACAAAGGAAGTTGAAACGTTAATTTTCACAATCAACAGTCTTCTTTATCATTCTTATGGGTAAAGATTACCATTTAATTTGTAGCAGTAGTTAGTCTTGAAAACTCTGTGCCATTTGTGATCACTTCTTGTCAAGCTCACACATGAGACAACTCAAGGGCTAAGAAGACCTGACCTGTAAAGATACAACAGGCCACTTGTAGATTTAGGTGGTTAGTTACTTATACAGACAGAGAAAAGAAGAAGGAGGCAAAGATAGCAGCTTCCTGCAGTCCTTGTCCAGCACACCAAGAATGACACTGACAGAAGGCTGTTGACTGTAAGTCAAAGGATTCCAGCTGCTGCGGAGCTAGATCCAGATGGCAGATAAATGGGTTTATGTCTCGACCCTTATTTGAGGCCAGATGGAGGGATGCCCAGAAAGCCGCATGCGTCACCAAAGCCCAGGAGGCAATGAGGACCTGTCTCCCGACAGCCACCAGGGAAGTAGGGAGGTGGTGGGCGCTGACATAGCATCCTCCTGCTTCTTGGGTTCCCGGAGGGTCATAAGATGTTCTTCCCAGACAGACAAAGCAGCTGCGCTTCAGGCTTTGCGTGTGTGGCTTATTAGGTAAGTGTGGGCTGCCAGGGAACTGTGGCAGAGGTGTTCCCCCGTACTTCTTTGGACTTCTAGTGTGACTGATGTCTCCACATACAGGTAATCACAACGCCTCTCAGTGCTACTCCCCAGCTGTTTCGCCTCCCCCTGTCCTGTCCCCTCTGTTGACAGGTGCTGTTGTGTGAATCAGGCTGTTCTTGGGGCCTGTTTCCTGTCTGCTTTCTCTTTGTATATGACATGTGAACATGGCTGGCATTGGTTTGAGAATCCTGGGTCAGGCTCTCCCTGTACATATTTAGAGCCACTGGACTACGGCAGATATTGCCTCATTGTTTGTAGATGGCTGTGTTTTTTATTTGTTTAAAAAACAAGTTTGTGGGCTGGGTGCAGTAGCTTACACCTGAAATCCCAGTGCTTTGGGAGGCCGAAGTGGGCAGATCACGAAGTCAGGAGTTTGAGACCAGCGTGACCAACGTGGTGAAACCGCGTCTCCATTGAAAATACAAATTTTAGCTGGGCGTGGTGGCACACACCTGTAATACCAGCTACTCAGGAGGCTGAGGCAGGAGAATTTCTTGAACTCAGGAGGCGGAGGTTGCAGTAAGCCTAGATCATAACACTGTTCTTCAGCCTGGGTGACAGAGCGACTCCATCTCAAAAACAAAAACAAGTTTGTGGTATAATGTACATGTCAAATTTACCATTTTATCTGTTTGTTTTTTTCTTTTTTATGATTTTACTTTTTGTAGAGACGGGGTTTTGCTATTTGCCCAGGCTGATCCTAAACTTTTGAGCTGAAGCTGTCTGCCTGCCTCGGCCTCCCTCAAGTGCAGGGATTACAGGTGTGAGCCACCACACCCATTTTAGCCATTTCTAAGTGTACAGTTTGGTGGCATTAGGCACATTCACACTGCTGTGCAACCATCACCACCATCCATCTCCAGAACTTCTTCCCAAACCGAAACTCTGTGCTAAGTTATTAAAAACCCTAAGTCCTTGCTTCCTCATTCCCCCCAGATCCTGGTGCCCACCATTCTTTTGGTGCCTGAATTTGGACCTCATATAAGTGGACTCATACAATATTTGCCTTCTTGTGCTAGCTTATTTCACTTAAGGTAATGTCCTCAAGGTTTATCCATGTTGTTGCATGTATGAAAATTTCCTCCCTTTTTCAGGCTGAATAGTGTTAGTGTATGAATATGTCACGTTTTGTTTACCCATTCATCTGTTGAAGGACAGTTGGGTTGCTTCTGCCTTTTGGCGATTGTGAATAATGCTGCTAGGAGCAAGAGTGTTGAAACATTTGAGTTCTTGCTTTCAATTCTTTTGGGTATGTACTCAGAAGTGGAGTTGCTGGAAGGACTGCTGTGTTTTGAAATCTTAGTTTTTGGTGATTTTGTATTGTTACTTAATGTTAACAGCTGGATTACCATGTTAATGGGCCTTATGAGGCCAAATGGATGATTAGAATTTTAAAATTAAATCTTCCTTCTCTTTCCTTCCCCTTCCTCTTCCCTTTCCCCTTCCCCTCCGCCTCCCCTTCCCCTACCCCCTTCTCCCCCGCACCTTCTCCTCTCCCCCTCCCCATTTCCTTATCCTCTTCTTTGTTTTTTAAATAGGGTCTCACTCTGTCACCCAAGCTGGAGTGTAGTGCTGTGATTATGGCTCACTACAGCCTTAATCTCCTGGGCTCAAGCCATCCTCCTGTCTCACACAGGCCTGTACCACCGTGCCCAACTAATTTTTTTTTTTTTTTTTTTGTGGCTATGGGGTCTTGCCACGCTGCTCGGTCTGGTCTTGAGCTCCTGGGCTCCAGCACTCTTCCTGCCTTGGCCTCCCAAAGTGCTGGGATTACAGGTGTGAGCCACTGCGGTCAGCCTAAATTTTATTATTTAAAAGCAGTATTTATTATTTCCCTCCTTGATAAAAGCTCATTTTCTACAATGAACATATTATAGAAGCAATATGTTCATTGTAGAAAATTTAAAAAAGTATATAGAAAAAATAACCTGTAATTCTACCACATAGAGCAATGCTTGTTTTTAAAATTTTATATTAGTATCGTAATGTTAAATGAACATAAATAATACTCTAATGGTTTATCTGTATATGATTATATACAATTTATAACTTAAAGAAAATTTGGTAATATATTAATATGTCTCTGGGTCAGATACATTAGTCAAGCTTCTGTGGTGAGAATTTACCAAAGTGCAGGTATTTATCCATCCATTTACTTATTGTTTCATTTTCTCTTAGATATGTTATCTGTATTTACATGTAGATATGTGGATGTATATTTCTTTCACAATTGGGACCATGCTGTAAATATGACTTTGTAATTTTTTTGTCTTATTATTACAAGTATTGCCTCTAAACAATTTTCTAAAACATGATTGTTAGTTACCACAGGTAATACTTAAAAGGTACATCAATTCCACAATTTATTTAATCATGACAGTACTAATTATACTAGCATTAATTGAGTGGTTAGATTTAGATTTTGGTTATTTTTTTCTTTTAATTTTTTTTAACCCATATATAAGAATATTGTGTTTGCATTTCCTTATTTCTAAAAGTCAGTGTTTTAAGAGAAATGAAACTTTTGGTACTTATTGAGAAGGCAGGAATTTAAAACTACTGAATGTTATTTTTTGGGTGTATGTGAGTAACTTTTAATGTGGGTCTGAGAATTGGCATTCTTGATCACTGCCTTCACTAAATCTCTAAGAAAATATTAAGCATTGGCTTGGCTTGCTGGCTCACGCCCGTAATCCAACACTTTGGGAGGCCGAGGCAGGCGGATCTTGAGGTCAGGAGATCGAGACCATCCTGGCCAACATGGTGAAACTCCGTCTCTACTAAAAATACAAAAAAATTAGCTGGGCGAGGTGGCGCACACCTGTTGTCTCAGCTACTTGGGAGGCTGAGGGTGGGAGAATTGCTCAAACCTAGGAGGCAGAGATGGAAGTGAGCCGAGATTGAGCCACTGTACTACAGCCTGGGCGACAGTACGAGACTCTGTCTCAAAGAAAAAAAAAAAAAAAAAAGAAAATATTAAGCATTTACTGAGAACCACATTATATTATGTAGATATTACAAAGATATGTAAGACATGGCCTCTGATTTGTGGGTTGCTAAATTGTAGTTGTGAAAATGAGGAGTATGGGTTGAGCATCCCTGATCTGAAAATCTGAAATCAGAAATACTCCAAAATCTGAAACTTTTAAAAAATGTTTGCCCCCCAACACACAAACACCCCAGCACCCAAAATCTGAAACCTTTTGAATGCCAACATGATGCCACAAGTGGAAAATTCCACACCTGACACTTTTGCTTTCTGATGGTTCACTGTACACACATTTGTTTCATGCACAAAATAATTAAAATTATTGTATAAAATTACTTTCATACTTATATGAAAGTAGTATGAAAGTAATTTTATACAATAATTATGTAAGGTGTATGTGAAACATAAATGAATTTTGTGTTTATACTGGGGCCCCATCCCCAAGTGGGTGTCTGAGCAAATCTTCCAAAATTCAGGAAAATTCGAAATCCAAAACAATTCTGGTACCAAGCATTTTGGATAAGGGACTCTCATCCTGTATATGCATTATCATTGAAGGCAGCATGTGATACATACTATGTTAGTTTTACGGAAGTAGCTGCTGAAATCAAATAAAAAAGAGTATGTGATAAAATGTACAAGGTGGAAGAGGCGACTTTGGCCTGGGTGATCTGGGACAGTTTCATGGAGAGAGAGACTGGGGACTAGGTTTTTTGGTTGGGTGGTTCTTGAAATAGAAGAACATTTCTGGCAGTGGGGAAGGCAGTGGGAAAGGCCTGGAGGTGAAAAAGGACAGGATTTATTTGGGTCATGGCAAATGAATTTACTCAGAGAAGACGGGGAGGCTAGTCCAGTCAAGGCCTGAGCCACTTGCAGCCTAAGGGGTCTATATTGTGTAGGGACCTGAATGCCAAGTGGGGGGTACCAGATTTTGCGGTGGTAGGCTCACCTGATCAGAGTGGCCCTGGAAGATTAATATGTTGGAGATGTGGGAACTAAATGGGAGTGGGAACAGACGGAGTCCGTGAGATCAGCTGTGTTGGTTCTGTGTGTGGCGTATTGAATTGGAACGGGAGTTGTAGAAGCAAGTCTGGTGCTGTCACCCCCACTCCACTACCTCCCCGAGATGGTTTTGAACATGCTGACACTGTCAGTCAGAGGAAAAGCTTCTAAAGCTCTTCGTATTCCCTGCCTACCTGGCACCGAGTAGCTATGAAATCATTGTTGAAAGAATGAGTGAATCAGCAATATAATTTTGTGCCTGAAGGTGCAGCGAGGGAGGATTCAGAGTTGAAGCTGAGTCTTTGGCGGCAGGGTGACTGAATAAACATGCTTTCTAGTGTATGGGTATTGGTGAAGAGAAGAGGAAGATTGGCTCTGAGGAGGGATAAGTTAAGAATTTTGGGTTTGAACAGTTTTATACCATCTTGTTCAATGTAAGGGATATTGGTGTTTACAAACTTTAATATATTACTGTTGAGAATATAATTTTCTAATTCCAGTCATGCAAAGAGATCTGAGTGTTCTGATCTCCAAAGTGATGTCAAAGAGATGATGGAAGGATCTGGATTTCTAGTCAACTTACTTGATGAGAATGTGTATTTACAGCAGTTCTTGGTGGTTTGGGATCTTTAGGTCTCATTTCTCACGTGACTTCTGGTCATTTAGCCCTTTCACCCCTGTTCACCATCCATCTAAACCATGGAAGGAGCATGTAGGACTGGAATTCAAATGTGTAGATTTAAATAAGCTTCTTTTTGGTTATTCTTACCTTTTCAAGGGAGCGTTGGTCCACATTAACGCCAGTGACAGAAAGTTAACTGAATTTTACATGCTGTTTGTCCCACCTGTCATTAGATACATTGAAGGACTGCTGACCATCAGATGTATGTTTTTAAATTAGTTTAATGTCATGTGTCTAATTTAAAAATAGTGTCGTGGTGGGGGCACATATGCCAGTCGGATGCTCTTTGAGCATGTTCAGAGCAGTGTAAAATATTAAGAGGTGACATAGTTATATCTAAAGACTTTTGAAGCCTTCTGTGAAAGCCAGCTTCAATAGGAACATCACCTGCATTAATATATTTATTACACAGTTCACTTCTGTGAATTGTATGTTTTTGTACTTCATTTTTTCCAGCTACTCCTTTAGTGTTTTTTCAGAAGTTTGTTATTTATGGATTAGCCTAGTAGCTCATTCTTATAATTATTGCTTTTTTAAAAACCATGTTTTACAAACAGGTCTTCACCAAAGCAAAAGCGGTATAAATCCGATTGGGGAATGGTTCAGAGTGAGAATTGAGCCCTTCTTGCAATGTGGAAATTTCCTATTGTCCATTTTCCTAGTGCTGGTTTAAGTCCAACTCACCATATATATGCTTTTGAAACGAGCCAATTAGGGCATGTTTAACTATCAGTAGGCTTAAATAAATGTGTTTGCATTGTGTTGGAATTTGGACTTAGGACTTTGGAAGGTGGAAAATTCCAAATGCAGGTGAAAGATTTCTGTCACTGGGCTACGTACTTAACAGCCAGTCCTGTCCAAACTTAATCTGGTAATGTTTACTGAGCTGGTGATGTTTATGGAGTATAAATGAGATAGGCTATCTTTTCTGTGGGACATTGGTTATCTTCACTGGAGGACTTTTGAAATTGAAAGAAAGCAAAAGTAACATAAATTTGATACTCAGCTAGAGAAGATGTATTTATATTTAATTTGTCCTCATGATATAAAGACTTGCTCCGTGTCTTTAAAAAAGTGATTTTTAAAAAACTTTTCTGATGTATGTAAAAGTTACCCATATATACCCAAAAAATAACATTCATTAGTTTTTAAGTTTCTGCTTTCTCAATAAGTGTCAAAAATTTCATTTGTCTCAGAAAATTGACTTTTAGAAATAAGGAAATGTCCTCACAGACGTGCAAACAAAATATTCTTATGTATGAGTTTTTAAAAAAATAAAAGAAAAAACCTAGTAACCAAAAATCTAAGGAACCAAAATCTAAGCTGTTTTTACTACAGTGTTAATATCTTAAAGCCAATACCTACATTCATTTCTTCTTTGTTTTCCAAGTTCAAAATGAGGAGACATTTATTTCTGTGCTTCCTATTACTAATTTAAAAAAATGTTGAATATTGTGGGATAATTCCTAACATGTATGGAAAATTATATTGTTTGCTGAGAATGATGGCAAGGAAAACAAATCGACTCCCAAGCCGAAAACTGCTTGGGGCATTCTAAAGCAGTAGACAATATATGTATATCATACACCAGTTAAACTAATTCTTCAAACATGGGACTTGTGATCCTTCCCCCATGGCTCCCTCCGGGAGAATGCTTGCTAGTTTGTGTTTGATCAGTGGTAAGCAGGCATCAGCTGCCTGGCTAGTTAATCTTGGCTCTATGAGAAAACACAGAACACCTGTTTGTTAATAATAATCACCTGTTCAGATAGAAGAACTGTGCGGGTCACAGTGAGGCTGTCAGCTCGACAGGGTATCAGCCCCTGAGGCTGTCAGCCTGGAAGGCTGCTTATTCCCTGATAGTCCCACTTTGCACTCTATCTTTGTGTCTGTTTCTTAATTCCTTCAGCACTGCCTAGGTAGGGGTCTCCACGACCGAGCTGGTCTCTGTAGAATATCAAAAATGAAAAATTGCAGAAAAATAAACAGTAAGAGCTAAAGTTCTCCTTTATTTACATGTTATTGTCAAGATTGCCTGCTACTGGATTACCTAGTGCAAATTGGGATGTTTTTGATTAACTTTGCTGGATTTTGACATTGTCACTTCTCTTTTACCTCTATTTAGTCTTTGTATGCTTAGAAACTGCCAGTTTAGTATAATATTAGGTGAAAAGAAAATGGTTAGAAATATAAATAAAATCTTTAGTTGATAGTATTGTACCAATGTTAATTTTTTAGTTTAGAATATTATACTACGGCTATGTAAGATATTAACCTTATAGAAGCTGGGTAAAGGGTATGGGGGAACTGAGCTATTGCTACAGTTCTTCTGTTATCTGAAAATTATTTCAAAATAAGCTAAACAATGATTAGCCTAACTCAACAGCTACAAAGTTATTAGTGTATTGCAAAACCAGAGAGAAGTGATTTGTGTGTTGTAGAGAATGGACAGATTCTCTTCTATTTGGATGGTTGAAATCCTTGTTCATTTTCGTTGACCTGAAAAATTGGGAGTTGATGCTGTATCTTACGAGGATGAAGATGCTGTTAGAGTATGTTTAGTAAATGCAGACATCTTTTTTTGTGTTATGCATCTCTATGTGCATAAATACACGACAGATACCAATTTGCATATATACATGCAGTATGCGCTCCTAAATGAGGTGATTGGCTTTTTAAAAATATCACAGAATTTCATTTTAACTTGCTACACATTTGTTTTCTTGATGAGATGGCAGCAATCATTTGCCTTTTGAGAATAAATTAGATTCTTATATTTTGGAAACACCAGCATGTGATTTGGGGCTTCATGGGTAAGTTGAGCGATCAGAATTTTTAGCACTGAGTTGAATCTGAATTTAAGAAATGAGTTTTTAAAAAAATAAGTGAACTGGCTCTGAATTTATTTCCAAAGAATGGCACAGATCTTTGTGTGGTTCCTGCATCATTGGACTAAGTCTAATCTTTGTGGATTTCAACTTTAAAGGATATGACTTATTTGTGTACTTCATTTGTTTGTTATAAGTGAGTAGTGCCATCTGTATTAACAGAGAGATGGAAGACTTCAAGGTTTTTCAGCAGTTGCTTTCCCTAGGCCCATGCTCTAGCTAAGTGTGGACATTCACCTGGACATTGGGCTGCATTTCCAGGCTTCACTAGTTCCACCCCATTTTACCCTCTCTGAACCCACTCTTCTTGTTCTAGGGTAGCACTGTTATTAGAGCTTTCTATGCTGATGGAAATGTATGTCTGCACCGTCCAGTGTAGCAGTCACTGGCCACATGCGGCTGTCGGGCACTTGAAGCATAGCTAGTGTGACTGAACAACTGAATTTTAAATCGTACTTAATTTTAGAGAATAAATTTAGATTGCCACATGTGGCTAGAGGCTCCTGTAGCAGGCAGCACAGACTGAGGGCTGCCATTGCCAATTCCTTGAATGGTCTACCTGGAATGCCAGTTTAAGTGTGAAAGGAGAGAATGAACGCAGACACTGATAGTATAACTAAGTTGTCTGTTGTTCTCATATGAAATTCCCTTTATAAGCGTTTTAATTGATTGGTGCCGAAATGATGGTACTGTGTTGACTCCTTGTTTTTGGGTTGCCCTTTGTGAGAGGTACTCTTTGGGTACCACTTTGAAACCTGCTTTTCTTTTACATAAATTTTTTCATGTCAGTAAACACGCTTCTGACTCGTTTTTAATGACTGGTAGTGTTCTGTTTTATTGATGTGCAATCATTTGCTTATCTTCTATTTATCCTTTTTCAAAGTTTTTATGTTACCTACAAATTCAAGAAGATATCTTTGTTTTGTGACTTAGGAAATTCCTGGGACTCAAATAGCCAAGTGAAAGGGTAGGGATATATTTAGGGTTTTGTAGTGGTGGTTTGTTTAATGCACACTCCAAAAGTGCCCCCTGCTGCCAAGCACCCTCCCCCACCAGTTTGTACCATTTTACTCTCTAAATTGGTGTTTGTGACAGATTGTTAATCAGAGTGAGAAACACTTGAGGGATTGTGTGTTCACTCAAAGGCTGCTTTAAGGCAGCATCTCACACTCGTCTGTCTGCTCTTTCTGCTCTGTTCAGGGCAAAAATCAAGTGGCCTTGAATGTGGTGTATTTGATATTTGGCTTCATTTGGTTGGCAGGGGCTGGGGGTGGTCCAGAAGGGGCCTGCATAGGTGGGATTGAGGCCTATCAGGCAGGGTTCCTGGGAGGTCCCACCAGCACTCCCTCTGCTTGCAGTTCTGCTTCATGCTGCCTTTTGTGTGGCTTAGTAGAGAAATTCTGTCCCTGGGGTAGTAGGTCTGGGGCCTTTCAGCTCTCTCTAAACCAAGTACAGAAGAGAGAGGGGCCCTTGTGTTTCCTACCTGCATGACAGCGCTGCTGCCCTTTCGGACAGTGACAGCCCCGTCCGAGCACAGTGGTGTATTTTTCATGAGGCTGGGCTGACCTGCTGGATTAAGCCGAGTTCCAGGCTGGCCTTGAAGATAGGTGCTTATTTTAAATTTGGGACCAAAGGTGGCCTTTGTTCTTTCACGTTTTTGTTAGGATGCTGTTTTATCTTAGTTTTGAGAAAGGTTTCAAGTTTTTCAAGACGTTTCTTGAAAAAGTGGCTTCCATTTTTAAAAAGTAAGTTTAAAACTGTGGGAACAGATCTGTACCAACATGTTAATCTGGGGCATTGTATGGCTGGCTACTGGCAAGGAGGCAAAATCCCCAGGCTTTAGAATTGATGGTGAAAAGATTTTCTCTTTCAACAAGTACTGGACATGTACAAAATGCAGAGCTTATGAAGATGGGAATAACAGTGCTTGCTTAGCAGGGGATAGAGAGTTGATGTGAGAAGTAAGATGTACAATGAAAAGTCATGAAACAAGAAATCTTTGTAATGATAGAAGGCGGAAGAGGCCAACGGATTAACATGTATTGCGGACCTGTTGAGTTCTGGCCCCGTGCCGTGCTCTATGTGCATTGCTGAGTTCAGTAGGGTGGTAGAGGTATGTCTGGGCACCCATGAAGAGTGTCCTGGAGTGTTGCAGGTTGCTTGACCCATGTCCATGGGTAGAATTGGTGGGAGGGGCAGCACTCAAGCTGAGCCTGGGAGCCTCATTAATTTTGATGAAAAGGAAAGGATGTACTTTCTAGGCACAGAGAGGACCCTGAGAAAGGTTTTCCTCACGAGGCCACATGGTGGCTGGGGCATTTGAGCTTTACTCTCAAGGTAGGGAGGAAGGTTTCTTAGCAAGGCAGTGACGTGATGAAGTTGGAGTTTCAAGGTGATTTATTGGGTATGAGTGAGTAGGCTATGTGGGAAGAAGGGAGGCTAAAAGCAGGGAAACCAGAATTTCTGTCTGGAAACAGGGACACCTCCCAGTGTTGTTGGCTGTTGTTACCCTTGTGGAAGTTGCCAATAGAAGGATCAGGGCTGGATCTCTTCAGTCCCAGGGTGGGCTAGAACCCCTGTTCCACCATGCGCTAGCTGGGAGCTGTGAGCCTGGTGCCTGTCTTCCTTCTCTGTAAAATGGAACAGTAAAAAAGTGTGTACCTCATAAAATGGTTTTGGGTATAAAATGAAATAACAAAATAAAGTGCTTGGTACAAAGTAACTGTGCTCAATAAATATTAGTTATTAATAATATTGCTAGGTAAAGGTCATTTCTTGTGAGATAACATGGGCCCACATCTCATGGACTGCCTAGTACCCCGAGGATCTTCCTGGTGATTTACGTCATGGAGATCTGTGCTGCTTGCTCTGTGGAAGTAGTCCAGGGTCAAACAAACAAAAAGCAGTATGGACTGATAAATATTCAGGCTGAAATGGCCTTGCAGTGGACTGTGGACAACATTTGTTACAAGTATGTGACGTGCTGGTGACCATGTCCGTCTTGATTTCCACTCCCGTGTTGGCATCAGCAGGACAAGAACAGAGCAGGACGGTGAGGCTTGAGGTCCCGCTGCGACCTCGGACCGTATTTCCTCCTGCCAGAGGCATCTGCCAAACTGTTAAGGGCGTGGACATTGTTTAGTTTCAGAGATGGATTTGTCATCACATTTGCAAAGATCCACACAGCGTAGGGAAGTTGTGGTCTCAGGAAAGACGTAAACAACTGTTTTTCTAATTCCTGAGAACCTGGATTCTTGCTTTCAGAAGACACAGAAGAAATTCCAATCAGTTTTTTTATGGGAAAGAGTCATGAAAATATAAAATAAGATAATACATTCTTGGCTTAATATGTCCTTTTTGAGAAAACTACTCCATTGAGGCTGTTCCCTATTTAAATTTATCTTGCCTGAGATTATCATAGGATTTTTATTAGTGTGCTGAGCCAACCACTTACCTGAGCTGAAGATGCCTATAAATTTGCAATTGAAAAATTTCTGAGATTAAGCCTACTAATGTGCTGCTTAATGTTTCTTATTCTTCACATTTTCTAAATATATGTATTTTTTAAATTGAACTTCATAAATTTTAATTTCTAATCAATATTTTTATTACAGGTGATCAAATAATAAAGCACATTTGAATGCAGACTCGAGCAACTCCAAATTTTGCGAATCACTTTTAAGAACATTTACAAAGGTGACCTGTTTATTCTCTGCATCAGAATTAATTACCCAGGTGACTATTTAAATTTTCAGGGATCAGATGGGAGGATATGCACTTTTTAGTAAGCCCTAAAGTTTGAGAATCACTGACTGCTTTAGTTCATATAGACTTCACAGTAACCTCACAGTTTCACGGTGAGGGTATATGCTTGAGAGTACCTTCAAGCATTTACATATGCAGTAAATTCTGTTTTTTAGACATATCCATGTATCCCTCATCCCTAGTCTTTTGCTGCTTATGTATGCTTGCGCTGTGCCTGGAAAGAGGCGAGGTTTGAAGCCTCTTTGAACATTGTCAAAATTTAGCCAGTTATAGACCTTACATGATAATGACTAGGACTCCTCTCTGGCTCTGTTTTTATTGTGTCCAGCTATTCCAGAGACTGGTCCAGGGAGTGTAAAGTGCCTCATATTTTCCCTGTCACTACTTTTCTTCCTTTGGTTAACTGTCTGATCTTGGATAAAACTCTTACAACCTGTTGATTATTGGTTGTCTGTTAGGTTGTTTTACTTGCTGTTCTATGAAATTGTTTTAAAAGGACTGGATTTCTTTTCCTGACTTCCCCAGGTAGCCTGTGTGTCCCTTCAAAGCAGGGACTGCAGATGGATTGTGTTGGTGGTACCACCACTCAGCCCAGTGCTAGGATACAGTAGGAACTTGATACCTGTGTAGTGACTGACTGAGGAGAGGTGACCCGGACATCGTATCAGCTGCTGCTGCTGCTTTGTTATTTAACTTGGACTCTCAAGAGACCTCCCCTTCCGTTCTGTTTCCATTGTGGCCACACTGGTTCCTGCCTTGATTTGCTGGGTCTGGATTCATTGTGCTCTTTGCCTTAGTCTCTTTGCATTTAGGTCCATCTTTCACAATCATTCCAGGCTAGTTGCCTACCCACACTCCTTTGAACAAGTCACTTTCCTTCTCAGGGACCTTAACTGACCTTGCCTTGTATGTGAGGTTCTCCACGATCTCACCGCCACCTGCCTTTCTAAATGTCTCATACTGACTTTTCCAACCAAGTCTGGCTGTTGGTGACAGGTGCTTTCATTCTCCCCACAGTTTTAAACCTGAGGCCTCAGCTTGGGAGGAAGACTGGGGCACAGTAAAGATGCTGTAACTGTTCCCATGGCATGGACAGCTGGAGCAAAGGTTGGAGGGCGTGGGCCGTGTGACTCTTGTGTCTGTGAGGCATGGGGAGAAGCGAAAACCAAGAAGGATGGTCACAGCTAGGGCGGGAACCAGGAGAAGCAGCCACAGAAGTCAGAGGAGGAAAGAACTTCAAGATGAGGAGGATGATCAGCAATTCTGAGTTCTCAGGCAAGTCCATGAAGACTGAGCAAGTTTCATTGCATTTGATGAGTGAGTGATGGCAGTCTGATGTGTTTCTGAAAGATTTCAGTGGGGACAGAAGCTGAATTGTTGACATTCAAGATTACAAAGGGTGCAGCAATGAGGGCAGACCACTTATGTGTGAGACTGGGGTGTGAAAAGGCAGGTACTGTGTTTTATATTTACATTTTCCCCCAACTGGCAGGTGCATGTGTGCTTTGGAGGCCCAGAGGATGGAACTAGGTTAGAGGGAGAGATTCAGAATAATGAAAGGAGTCACCTGGAGAAGGAAGGAAAGGATGGGGGTAATCCAGGGCTTCCATTAACCCTGACAGTGAGGAAGGAGAGGAGGGGACAGCAGGGAGGAGTGGCTGCATTCAGGTGGCTTCATTTTTTTAATTAGGAGAGAAATTTCACGTGTTAGCAGGGTGCATGGGCCAGCCTGAATTGTTTCTGCAAAGATTATTCTTCCAAAAGTCAGTCTTGTGTGGTCTTAGTCCTGTGTTCACAAGCCTTAGATGATTCACCCTGAGTCCTGGGATCAGCCCCGGGCATCCCAGGATACGCGGAGGTCATGCCTGAAGTGGGGCTCAGCCAGCTCCGGCCTTTCCCTCACCCTTGGCCCTCTCAGATGCTTGTTCTCTGAGCACTCCCTAGATTGTTTCCCGATGACGTGCCTTTGCTCACTCTGGCTTGTGCTTTTGCTGGGCATCAGCCCTTCCTTCTCCACCTTCCTCCTTTGTGTCCATCCTGTGTCAGTTAACTGTGTATCCCAGCTCCTAGAGAACTACTGCTTACAGTTGAGGTGATTTTTATTTATTTATTTTTGAGATGGAGTTTTGCTCTTGTTGCCCAGGCTGGATAGAGTATAGTGGCACGATCTTAGCTCTCTGCAACCTCTGTCTCCTGGGTTCAAGCAATTTTCCTGCCTCAGCCTCCTGAGTACTTGAGATTACAGGTGCCCGCCACCACACCTGCCTAATTTTTGTATTTTGGTTTCACCACGTTGGCCAGGCTGGTCTCAAACTCCTGAACTCAGGTGATCCACCTGCCTTGGTCTCCCAAAGTGCTGGGATTATAGGCATGAGCCACGGTGCCCAGCCAGTTGTGGTGATTTCTATTCATGCTCTTATTTCCTCTGCTAGATGGTAAACTGAAAGGATTTTAAAATCCAGGGATAATTTTAAATGTAATAAAATGTGGTAAGAAAACGTACATAAAATATCAGAAGACAAATCTGAGTCAGGCAGACTTGAGTTTGAATCCTGGCCCTGCTTCTTCCTGGGTACAGTTTTGAGTGATTGCATCCTGTGCCTTTATCACTTACTTAATTTGCGGAGTGGGGATAATGAAACCTTCTTAGGGCTGTTAGGAGAATGAATGAGATGATTCCTGTAAAGCATTTGGCCTAGGCCTGGACCCTTCGTAGGGGCTTAGTAGACCTTGCTGCAGCGGTCAGCAATGGATTCCTTGCCACCCAGCAGTGTTGGGTTGAGCACCTGGATGGATGGTGAGTGGTGGAGGAGTGTAGGGTGCCCACTTCCCACCCCAGTTATGTTGAGGGCAAGGATGGTGTACTTTACTTTGTATTTCTAACATGGGTCTATATAGTTAGTAAGAGGAACGGCATACCTCTTACAAGTGGGTCCACTTACGCATGGATTTTCTTCTGCCTGTGCTCCTCCGGAGACAGCAAAACCAACTCCTCTTCTTCCTCACCTGCCTTCAACTTGAGGAGGAAGACCTTTATGATGATCCACTTTCACTATTTTCCCTTCCTTATCATTTTTCTTAATAGCAGTTTCTTTTCTTTCTTTCTTTCTTTTCTTTTTTTTTTGAGATGGAGTCTTGTTCTGTTGCCCAGGCTGGAGTGCAGTGGCATGATCTCTGCTCACTGCAACTTCTGCCTCGCAGGTTAAGCAATTCTTTGCCTCAGCTTCCCAAGTAGCTGGGATTACAGGTGCCTGCCACCACACCTGGCTAATTTTTGTATTTTTAGTAGAGGTGGGGTTTCACCATTTTGGCCAGGCTGGTCTTGAACTCCTAATCTTGTGATCCACCCGCCTCTGCCTCCCAAAGTGTTGGGATTACAGGCATGAGCCACTGCACCCAGCAGCAGTTTCTTTTCAATAGCTTACTTTGTTGTATAAATATAGTATGTGTGCATATATATATACACACACACACACACACACACACACACACACACACACACACAATTGCTGTACTAAAACTTCTATGCCTCACCATTTGTTCTACAAAGGAAAGAACCAAAAAATAAATCATTTAATATGTCCAGAGTTCTGTGGGCAAAAACGATGGAAAGTGTGTATATATATATATGTGTGTGTATATATATATATACATAAAATGTGTATTAATCGACTCTTTATGTTATAGGTAAGGCTTGCAGTCAACAGTAGGCTATTAGTTAGGTTTTTGGGGAGTCAAAAATTATACACAGATTTTCAACCCCTCCATGAAGGGGTTGGTTCTCCTAACCCCTGCGTTGTTCAAAGGTCAGCTGTATTAACTTGTTTTCTAAAGTGCCCTATGCAGATAACTTTTTTCATGTTAATTGCATAGAAGGAAATATCATTTTGTACAGTTTTTAAAAAATTGGCAACTGTTTGGAAATGACACATAATAAGATATTTATAACATTTATAGCAAGAAGTGCTGCGTATAGCATTAGTTTTCCCAATGAAAGCCCCTTTCCATTGTTTTTGCCCAGAGAACTCTGGACATATTAAATGATTTATTTTTTGGTTCTTTCCTTTGTAGAACAAATGGTGAGGCCTAGAAGTTTTAGTACAGCAGTTGGGTGAAGTGTACATATTATGAAGTTTATGAAGCCAGAGATGGAATGATACTATGGGGTTAATTTTTTAAATTAATTTTTAATGCATTTGACATTGTTTCCGGGTAGCTGATCCTTCCAGTTTCTCAGTTGGAACACAGATATCTCCTAATAGAAAACAGGAAAAGAAGCTTGCTCTAGGAGAACTTGACAAACCAGTTTAAATGTTTCATCAGAATGCCCTGTTGATTGCCATGGCCAGTCACAGGGGTTTTATCTCTCATCCATCTTTGTGATAAATGAGTGCATATTAACTTTTAGTGCTATAAAATACGTCTTTTTTGTTGTGGAGACTAGTGACAAATGACATTTTGAACTAGGAGATTGTATGGAGATGTTTTGCAGGTGGGATGTGGTTTCCTCGTTGAGCCAGTTAAATGTATTCCATTGAATGGTGAGGGGATCTTTCTCAACTGTTTCTTGGTTTGTCAGGTGTGTCCATGTTTATGAATATAAACTCCGGATCATTTTATGTTTATATCATACTAGAGGTTCTAATATATGTGTCTCTGAAAAGTAGGTAAATATATTAAAGATAGTGGCAAAAAAAAGGGGGGTGGGAAATGAAGTAATTGCTCATGGAGGGAATTTTGGATTGTGAAGGGTGCGGAGAAGACGGAAGCAAATTGTCAACACTGGTCACTCAGAGATATTAAGCAGGTACTCGGATGCTTGTCATTTGATGGAAAAAAGGGTTTAAGAGTGAGGATTCTCAAACTGTAAGAAAGGAAATTGACAATCTCAAGGGGAAAGGGTATGGCCGGGTCAGGGCCTCTTATCTTGAAATGAGTTGGGGTATGAGACTGGGGAGGGGGCAATTCTTTAAAGTAAATTTTTTTTTTTTTTTTTAAAGAAGGACTTATACTGTGTTAATTTTTCTATTGATGCCGTAACAAATTACCACAGAGTCAGTGGCTTAAACAACACACGTTTATTATTGTATAGTGCTATAGGTTGGAGATCTGACACAGGACTCAGTGGGCAGAAATCAAGCTTTCAGTAGACAGCGTGTCCTGTTATAGGCTCTGAGGGAGAGTCTGTTTTGTTGCCTTTTCCTTACTTCTAGAAGTTGCTCACATTCCTTGGCTTCAGGCCCTTCCTCCCTCTCTAAAGCCAGCAGTGGTAGATGGAGTTCTCACATCTCCTGTCTCTGGCTCTTCTGCCTTCCTTTTCAGGTTCCCTGTGATTACGTTGGGTTCACCTGGAAAATCTGGGCTCGTCTCTCTGCCTTGAAGCCAGCAGATTAGCAGCTTTAATTCCATCTGCAGCTTTAATTCCCATGTGCTATTTGAGGTAACATATTCACAGGTTATGGGGACATGTTCTAAGTATTGAGTCATCTTGTTTGAATTTTGTGAGGTACTGAAGTTCAGGGAAACTATTCTTTCCGGAAGTCACCTGAGGCTTGCTTTTAGTATAGGCAAGTCGTAGTTTCTGCTGCTTCACAGATGTGGTAAGTATTGCCAACCTCACTCACTGAGGGTCTACCCTTGGGATTCTGGAGCAGCATAAAACCTGCCAGGAATTGAGAGAAATTATGTCTCTAGATGTAGCAGGTTCTTAGCATCAGGAAGGGAGAGGAGGTGAAGGCGTGACGACCTGACAGGTGTGTGGAAAGGAGCTCAGCAGAAGCAAGAGGAAGAGAAGACACACTGAGGTGGAAAGTTGAAGAGGGTGAGAATAGAGTGGTGGCATCGTGGCTTGAGAGCCCCAGGCACCAGTGGAAGACCCTGAAAGGAGGACTGCTCATCCCTGGGGTGGGCTGAGTGCAGGAAAGCCACTCACTATACTGTGCCTCAGAAGCTCTGAGGGTTCGTGGCTCAGATTTTCTGTCTCTAAGCCTGAGCTCCTGTAGCACATGATGACCTCACAGGGAAGGGGCACTTTTATCTCAAGATCCCTCAGCCTGGCACAAGGTTATCAGACATTTTGGTCACAGGACCCCATGTATGGTGTTAAAAATTACTGAAACTCTCATACACTGCTGATATAAAATGGTGCAGCCACTGAGGAAAACAGTTGATAGTTTGTCACAATGTTATACATGAAGTTACCATATGACCCAGCAGTGCCACTTCTTGGTATATGCCACAGATAACTGAAAACATGTTCATACAAAAATGTATACATGAATGTACACAGCATTATTTGTGATAGCCAAAGGTGAAGACAGCTCAAATGCCCATCAGTGGGTGAAGGGAGAAACAAAATGTGCTGTATTTGTACGATGGGATATGGGGTTGAGCATCCCTAATCTGAAAATCCAAAATCAGAAATGCTCCAAAATTTAAAACTTTGAGTGCCAACATGATGCTCAAAGTGGAAAGACTCATTGGAGCATTTCAGATTTTGGATTTTTGTATTAGCAATGGCCAGCTGATAAACATATACTGCACATGTCCCTAAATCCAAAAAAACTTTAAATCCAGAGCACTTCTGTTTCTAAGCATCTCAGATGAGGGATGCTCAGCCTGTATGTTTAGCCATTAAAAGGAGAGAAGTAGTGATACCTGATACAACATTGGTGAACCTTCAAAACATTATGGTAAGTGAAAGAAGCCAGTCATAAAAAGCCACATATATTACGATTTCACTTATATGAAATGTCCAGAACAGGGAACTCTAATAGAGATGGGAAGTAGGTTAATGGTTGCCAGGGGTTGGGGGAGAAGAGGACGGGAGTGACTGCTAAAGGGTTTGGGGTCTCTTTTTTGGGTAATGAAAATGTTTTGGAATTACGTAGCAGTGATGATTGTACAACTTTGTAAATGTACTGAAAACCACTAACTTGTGCGGTTAGATACCACATAATGATGTTTTGGTTAGGATTGACTGCATATGCAGTGGTGGTCCCATAAGCTAGTAATGGAACTGAAAAATTTGTATCGCTGAGTGCCACCATAATGTCATAGTATCATTACATATTTGTTGTAGCCTAAGTGTACAGTGTTTCTGCAGTTGATAGTAGTGTGCAGTGGTGTCCTCGGCCTTCACATTGACTCACCACTCATTCGCTGACTGACCCAGAGCAACTTCCAGTCCTGAAGCTCCATACACGATTGGTACCCTATGCAGGCATACCAGTTTTAATCTTTTATACCATATTTTTAATGTACCTTTTCTATGTTTAGAATATTCAGGGTATTAACCTGTTGTACAGATTTGTAGCCTAGGAACAACAGGCTGTCCCATATAACCAAGTGCGAAGTAGGCTGTGATTGTCTAAGTACACTGTATGACATTTGCATAGCAACAAAATTAACAGTACCTTTCTCAGAACATATCCCTGTCGTTAAACACGTATCACTGTACTTATTTAAGTGGTGAATTTTATGGTGTGTGAATTACATTTCAGTAACAGAAATTGTAGAGAAGATTTTTTTGTGTCTGTAGATATTTATAATAGAAATTAAAACTTGTAATTAAAACATTAATTTTTTAAATAACATAACCATTATATGTTAACATACATTTTTATTTTTAAAAATCTTCAAAACAAAAAATTAAGCGAGAGCAGTAGCATTGCTTTGTGTTTTTATTATGTCTTTAATATCTGGGTAATAGGAGGAAGCTAGAACCTCATATGTGCTTCTGTGTCAGTCTTTTGTGCTATATTGCTTTGTGAAAGTATATAAAGAACATTCAGCCTTACACAGATGTGATTGGGAAAGGAAAGAGTATTGTTTTATAGATTTTTTAGATAATATGGATATTCTTTGACAGTACCTCAAAATGTGACAAATGGTAGTTTATTAAAGGTTAGCTGCACTGTGGAATCTGAAACCATTTATATTAAAGTTTATTGATCTGTTTTGTACTTTGAATGGATCTTTTACCATATGCAAGATTTTGTGTCTTCATGCTTCATCATTTGGAAAAGTATTGGTTTACTATATGAGTAATTAGCCTTTTCTTACACTCTGGGTGCATTGTGAGGTCTCATAAGGCTGACATGTGAACCAAACTTTGGGCTAGTCTATCCCGCCTCTGTAGAGTGGCCACAGCATTTCTCGAAGTGAAGGATCCTACAAACTCCTTTCAACCTTCATCCAAAGATGCACTGGTGCATCAACCCCACCAATGTCTCCCTTGACTCTGGCCAGGAAAAACTTCTGTCTCAGCTTCTCACCAGTAAAGCAGGCCTAGTGCAGCTGCAAACAAGTTATGCACATCTTCCAAATATTGACTAATTTCATTATTCAGTCTGTCTGAAATCACATTTGCTAGTATAATTCCTGACCTCATTAGAAAAGCCTTAATTATTGGGAAGCTTTCAAGTTCATGGTGGCAGACACAAGTTTTCCAGAATTCTGACTTCTGTGTGATGGAAGCCTCAGTGTCTTTTTGGTTAGCAGGGTGGATGTGATCTTGAATGTTTTACAATATAAAAGAAGAAAGGATTTTTTGGGAGAGTTTGTGAGAATAGAGTGCAGGTGCTAAGTTGTCTGTATGGGTGGCCTCCTAGAAGGGGTTACCGGAGTCCTCTGTGGCTGCCTCTTTGGCTAGGAGAGGGTGTATTTGTACTGAGAAAAGCTAGGAGGATTTTTCTGTTTGAGCAGGAGCTAGGAGGACAGTAGAAGAGCAGAGCTGAGTGTTGGGTGAGGGAGACGGAGCCCAGGACGTGCTGAGGAAGTTAGAGCATGTGTGGGTCAGGATGGTCTACGGAGTGCTGTTCCACATGCTACCCCGTTCAGTCCTCACCATGATCTTACTAGTTAGACACAGAGGATGTATGGTTACGCTTCTTTAATAGGTGAGGAAAATGAGACTCAGAAATGGCAGTGGAATTGTCTGGAGTCGTCTGGTTAGTCGGGTGGAACAGGCACCTGTCCTGAGCCTCTGCTTCCAATCTCATACCGGCTTGTTTGCAACTGCACTAGGCTTGCTTTATTGGTGAAAAGGTGAGACAGAGGTTTCTCCTGGCCAGAGTCAAGGGAGACATTGGTGGGGTTGATGCACCGATGCATCTTTGGATGAAGGTTGAAAGGAGTTTGCAGGATCTTTCACTTCGGGAAGTACTGTGGCCACGCTGCAGAGGTGGGATGAACCCACCCAAAGTTTGGTTCACGTGTCAGCCTGATGAGACCTTACAATACACCAGAGAGTAAGAAGAGGCTAATTATTCACATAGTGAAGCTTTTTGGGGGAGAGCAGGCAGGCTTTGGATCCAAAAGTGTCTTGAGAGAGCAGGGAAAGGCGACTGGCTTGGCTTTTACGTGATTAGGGGTTGGGGCTGGCTGAGGGCTTCCTTCCCTGCCCCCGCCCCTGGACCTGGGTGGTTTGAACTTCCTACAAGTGCCAGAGAAAGGGGCCCCTTTCTTATCAGCTTGCCCAGATGGGGGCTGTGGGGAGTGGTGGGCCCTGAAAACTGTCAGCAGTCAAATGTCAGAAATGGAGCCAGACTCTGTATTACAGAAAATGATATCTTTTCTCAAGGGACCCAACAAGTAGCAATTTGATTCTAGGTTCAAGACTTAGAACCAGCAAGGGGAGTGATTGAGTAAGCTACTGGCAGAACTTGTAGACTTAGCCAAAGTCTGCTTGATCATAGCTCTGCACATCCTGAAACTCCACATTTCCTCCTCGACAGTGTTGCGTTTCAGCTGATTTAGAATGTTGGCCTATTGGGAACAAAGTGAAGCTTGTGGGAAAAGAAGATAAGGTGGTGCAGGAAGGCCCTGCTCGCAGGGGTGTTGGTTTCATTTACTGAGAATTCTCTCTTGCTTGCTGCTGCCTTTATCTGCCCCTCCCAATAGAGGGGGTAAAAGGAAACCCCCTCTTTGCTTTTACCCTGAGAGTCCTTGGGAGGAAACTTAGCTGGGTCAACAGATGATGGAGCCATCTGCTGGAGGCTTTGAAATCCCATTTTACTACACAAGGAGGAGAAATAGAGCCGTCTTCTCCAGGAATTTTAGGTCTTAGTAGTCCCAGGCTGTCATATGAAGCAGGCTACACAGTGCAGTGAAAAAATGTGAATGAGTCACTAGTTTGTATGGGAGGACTACTTTGTGATTGGGACGTTTGGACGTGTAACACTGTCCCAAATGTTGGTTGGGTTACACTTGGAAGATGTTTTAGAAGCGCGTAGGACTTGAACTCTAACAGTTACTGTGTTAAGGAGGCTGCCAGGCACCAGTCTTAGATCCCTGAGGGCTTGGGTCTAGAAATGGTGGTCCCATTTTGGTTTGTATTTTGTAATGAATGCTTGGAGTCAGCTCAGTGTCCAATCATTGAAGCATTTATGTGTGAAACATCGATTATGTAGTCATCACTTGAGGAAGTGACTGGTGGTCACAGCTTATTAATGTAACGTCTTTCCCTTTCCCTCCCACTCCTGATCTCCACCTGGGAGTCGCCTCTTTCCAGTCTGGAATATATAAGAGAACTTTAGAGCCCAAAGAGACCTTGGAGGTGATTATTTCTCTTGCGTGTTATATTTATGGAACCTGATAATAACTAACTTCAAACATTTGTTTCAAAAACTTTCGAAAGATACGAAATTAAAGAGAACAGTACGACGAGTCTCTATGTATTACCCAGATTTAGTAATTTTAAGATACCGCCAGGTACAACTGTCACATACAGAGCACTTCACACGCGCTACTTTTGTCACCTCCCAGCAGCCTCTTGGGGTAGATACAAATGTATTTCCCCACTTGAAGATAAGAAAACTGACAGGCCCGGAGAGATTGGGAACTTTGCCTGGGGTCACCCAGTTCACAGCCAGCCGTCACAACCTGTGACTTCACCCTTTCTGCTGCACTGCCTGGAGAAGTTTTAAAGTTTGTCTGACATATACGGTCAGCTGAGGTCAGCCTAGAAGTGGAACGAAAAGATCTCACTCCTTCATCGTTTCTTTCATCATGAATTTCTGTGGCTTTTCTCTTTCTGTTGTTCTTTTGCAACTGGCTTTCTGAGCTTGAAGCTTCTGAGTACCGTTTTAACTCTGATATGCAGACGGGGTGGTGGGCGTGGTCTGCTCCAGTGCAGGTGATGAGGGGTGCATTGTCTGTGGAGGATTTAATAACAGTAATAAAAGCATCCAAAGTCTGCCTGTAAAGTCTAAATGTCTAGAATTTTGCCTGCAATTCTAAACATTGTCAGTGATACTCTTTCCCCAAAATCTTTTGTTGGTATGTCTTCTAAATAATTGCTTTATTGAGTTTTAATAATATATATGTAAGCTTCAAATGAGTACTTCTTGAGTACTTAGCCTTTAATAGATACTGTAGGCTGGGTGCCTTGGCTCACACCTGTAATCCCAGCACTTTGGGAGGCCGAGGCGGGCGGATCTCCTGAGGTCAGGAGTTTGAGACCAGCCTGGCCAACATGGTGAAAACCTATCTCTGCTAAAAATAAAAAATTATCCAGACGTGGTGGAGCACACCTGTAACCCCAGCTACTCGGACGGAGGGTAGGGGGCAGCTGAGACAGGAGAATTGCTTGATCACGGGAGGTGGAGATTATGGTGAGCCGAGATCACACCACTGCACTCCAGCCTGGGTGACAGAGTGAGACTGGGTCTCAAAAAAAGAAAAAAAAAGAAACTCTATGCACCATGGAAGTTAAATCTGACAATCCTGATTATATAGTTAGCCTAAACACGTGGTGACTCAGCTACTTGCATTCATTTCAAGAGTAAGTTCTTAAGACTTTAGAATTGTTCAGAAAGCTTGTCTATGACAGTGTATTTAACCCTGTAGTATTACATGTCTGCTTTTAAACAGTAGATTGGAAATAAATGATAGTGTTACTGATGACCATAATTTCACTCTATGTGATCACTTGGAGTTTTTGTCCAAGTGTCCTTAAAAGTTAAAACAGTGAAACAGAACTGCCAAATGTGCCCTGGGGGCAAAGTCAGTTGGGAAACAGTGCTCTAAGCGATGCTAGAGGTGAGAGCAGAGAAGCCAGGGCCCCAGCTGAGGTCTTACCCTGCAGAGGCGCCGCGGCCCCTTGAAGGAGGAAGCATCAAGCCCCCTCTCCATCCCCCAAGCAAAGGAGCCTGTGTAATATTTTTGTTTGATAAGTGTAAAAATAATATCTGTAAAATTAAAATTTATTACTTAAGATGGTTGTTTTAAAACTAAAGAACAAATCAAGAAAATAATAGTTACTGAGTTTTTACGTAACTATTACTGAAAATAATTTTTTTCATACATGGAGGGTATGTTAAAAAACGGTCCTTCCTGGGTTTCTAATGTGTTAGGTATGCTGTTGTAGGCGGAAGGCTTTTTCTGTGATTCATTTTTAAGTGAGGAGATTGGGAATCTTTCATACATACAACTGGAACCTTTGGCAGGATTGGAAGAAAGTTATGCAGGGCATTACTTGTATTGAAGGATTACTCTGTGCCAGAAATTACTGGCACTTGGTACAGCTTTATCTTACTTTGTCAAGCTGCTCAGGCCTGTCTGCAGTGCTGACAGACTGTGTGTGTGACAGTGGTAAGAGCTCCTGCCGGCTCCTTTGCCTGGAGGATGGAAAGGGGGCTTGATGCTTTCTCTTGGGAGGGGCCGTGGCACCTTTGCAGGGTAAGACTTCAGCTGGAGCCCTGGCTTCTCTACTCTCATCTCTAGCATCACTTAGAACACTGTTTCCCCACTGACTTTGCCCCCAGGGCACATTTGGCAAGGTCTGGAGACAGTTGTCACCACTGGAAGGGGGCTGCTATTGGCATCTTGTGGGCAAAGACTTGATTCCTGCCAACTGTCTTATGGTACACAGGACAGCCCCTCTACCCCTCCAGTAAAGAATTACCGGCTCTAGTTGTCCAGTAGTGCTGAGCTTGAGAAACTGACTTAGGGCAAGTTACTTAAATTTTTGCATGGCCTGCTCCTCATTTCCTCAAAATGGGAGAAATAACAAAGCACCTTTCTCATAAGATTGTTGTGAAAACTATGGGAGACAGTACATTTAAGAGCTTAGTAATTATAATTGCTGTTATTACAATTAGTGAAAATAAAATCCAAAAGATAACAGAAAACACTGCTGCTGTGCTACACTCATGACCAGTAGAGAGTCAGCATACTACACTCCTCATACCCTTAGTACTGTACAGTTGACTCTTGAACACCTCGGGTCTGAGCCACGTCGGTCCACTTATATGTGGATTGTTTTCAGTTGAACATGGATCAAAAACGCAGTGTTTGCGGGATGCAAAACCTGTGTGACCAAGAACTGCCTTTTTCTGTATCCGTGGATTCTACAGCTCTGACTGGGAGAGTTGAGCATGCACAGTTTTTGGTATTTGTCCAAATGCTAGTTGCCTGCAGATAACCTAGGGATGACTGTAAATGGATAACAATGCTTTGAGTAATGACCTTGAATCAACATTCAGTGCATGCAACTTAGTAAAGTAGGAAATGGAACTAGAAACATTTAGAAACCTCTTCTATTTTATTTATGTATTTATTTGATGGAGTTTCGTTCTCTTGCCCAGGCTGGAGTACAGTGGCATGATCTCGGCTCACTGCAACCTCCGCCTCCTAGTTCAAGCAGTTCTGCTGCCTCAGTCTCCCAAGTAGCTGGGATTACAGGCGCCCACCACCACATGCAGCTATTTTTGTAATTTTAGTAGAGATGGGGTTTTACCATATTGGCCACTTTGGTCTCAAACTCCTGACCTCAGGTCTCAAACTCCTGATCCGCCCTCCTCAGCCCCGCCGAGTGCTAGGATTATAGGCATGAGCCATCGTGCCCATCCTGAAACATTTTCAAAAGAAAAAAGTATTTCTGGTCCAATGTTAGCTTTTCAGTGTTTTTTCTCAACTGTTCGATCGTGTCACCTGATGTGCCGGTTAAACTACCCGACCCTTCCCTTAAGGTTTTTGATAAAGGGATCAGGGAATCCTGTTTTAACATAGTAGTCCTAGGTGATTTTTAATATCAAACTAGAATGGGGACAGTTCTTTTAGGTAGAAAAAAGATTTATTTATCAAGTAAGATTGGGAAAAGCCTGGCTTAGAGTAACGTAGGTTTCTTTCCTGAAGCACTTGATATGGTAACACAGTTAAATGGTAAATTGTGTTCCGCATTGCGGGGAATTAAAGTAAGACTATGTGAAGTAACGTTTCCCAAACTTAACTGTGGCGGCACACTGGGAAACATTGCAGCTCCCTCACCACAGATTCTGGTTAAAAGAGGGTTTTCCGTTCACTTTTAGGAGAATAGCTGTGTAAACCAGAAGGTATCTAGACAGGTCGCAGTCAGTTCAGAAGTTTATTTTGCCAAGATTGAGGACAATGACAGGGGTAAAGAAACATGGCGCCACAAGCCATGTTTTTTTCTGTGCTTTTCTTCAAAGGTGATTTTGAGGGCTTCAGAATTTGAAGGAGAAAAGCAGGCTGAAGGGGAAAGAGGGTAGGGTGTTACTGAATCCACATGTTGCAAGAGAAAAGGAGCAGCTAGGGGAAAAATCAATTACCTATTCTCTGGAGCTCAATAAATCAACACTACATAAGATACGGTGAACATAGAGTGGCTGCCTCTGGAGATATTTAACTTTTTACCTGTAGCTCTCTACTTAGGAACAAAAGGAAAGGCAGCATCTTGCATGACTCATCTTTCAGCTTAATATTTTAACTTTTGACATAGTGAATTGGAGTCCCGGGTTTTTGTTTTCCTTTCACAGCGACTTGGCTTTCGAGCGGCCGTGCAGTGGCGGAGCAGGGTGGGTGCGATCGCTACTTACGTGGGGTGAGTGCATCTGGGTCTGCACACTCATGTGTGGAGATGACTCCAGGCAGTCCTGGGCACATGGTTTGCCTGTTCTCTTCCCCCAGGGGCCTTTTCAGTGTAAGTTTGCCAGAAGAGCTTTCCTCAGAAAGTGCGTCTGTGGGCTTCTGAGGCAGGAGGCCTGCCCGCTAAGAATTCTGTTGGCTCCTCAAGTGACGCCTTGGTGGAGTTATCTAATTTCTCCCATAGGTCCACACCCATGTTTGTCTCAGGAAGTTCCTGCCAGTGCTCAGATGACTGATGAATTCCTTTTGGGCACCACTTCAGCTAAAGGCAGTCATCTCTAGGAACTCACTGAGATTAATGCACAATGTCAGATCCATAGCCTTTGTTCCCGCCATATGGATTGAGCTTATCTGCATTTTATGGTGATTGTGACAGAAAGATAGTAGCAGAGATCCAGGTACATAACAGCTGTTGACTGTTTAGTGACTCATAATCTGGTTACTTGTATCTCATTATTGTAGTTTGATACTATTATATCTGGAGTATAGCCATATGTGAATTCAAATCAGCATGCTCTTCTTGTTTGTCCTTTTTAGCCCTAATTTGCAGAAAGTGATTAGCTCAGAGCAGGGAGACGGGAGTGATCTCCCTCCTTGTCCCTTGACCAGCAGTAAAGGGTTGGTTGTGCATCCTTGTATTTCCAACTCTGGTGGTACTCCTGTGTGGAATGGGTGATTCAGATAAATGAAGTTAGCTCAGTGATTGTGATCCTGTCACTCTGTGTAATCACCTTAGTTTTTACTTGTGTTTAAAATTAAAAACTAAAACAGCCTGAGGCATAATCTTGTTTGGCACTGCAAATTTTAGTTTCACATGGTGTGTTTTGTCCACAGTTTTCCAAAGTGGTTGTGCCAGTGTATACTCCCAGTAGCAAAGGTGAGAATATTCCAGTTGCCCCATATTCTTACCAATACCTGTTATTTCTTTAAAACACGTGAAAATGAGTTTCACTGTGATCTTCCTAATAATAGATAAGAAGGTTTTAAAACCCAGCTGCACTTTGCAGTGCAGGTCATCAGAACAGTGCAGTCTTGGGGTGCCCTCCATAAATGAGACCTTTGTGATCTCCCCTTCCACAAATGAGATGTTTAGTTATTTTGGTAGAGAGTGATTCTGGCCTTTTGCTCTGCCTCTGGTCAGCGTCATCCTACCGATTTCACTGAGCACAAACAGAATTTACCGTAAGCATGTGTGAGCTCTGAATGTCACTGCGTATCTATCTTGGCATGTCTCATGATTTTTAAGTGTCTTGCTCCTTTGTCTTTCTGTTTTTTTTCCCCCAGCAATCCGATTGAAATGGGACACAGGGATAGGAATCAGGTGTGCTTTTGGACTGCTGGATATGTAATTCCATTAGATATAGCCAAAAATTTGTGTCACATTCTATAGAAGAGAGCTAGTGACCTGGGGATGCTTAACTTGTGGCTGGCTGGTTGAGAAGTCACACACTACATTTGTGAATTTATCTTTTTTAAATCTTTGTATCATGTCAGAGTCTGTGGAACCTGTTTTATCTTTAGCTCCCATTAACCTTGGTGCTAGAGAAAAGGCAGGTCCGGAGTGGAAAGGGATTTCCCGGTAAAGCATGGCAGCTTTTCTTGTCCTGAGGTCTCTCTTAAGAGAGCTATACATCCTGATTCTTAGAAGATGACAGGTGAGGAAGGGGCCTCTGATGTCCAAAGTTAGATTGTTCTTTGGTTATGACTGAGTCTAGGGGAGTATTCATGGTTTGGAGCTTTAAAGTTTATTGTATATAGGCGGTATCCCATTGTGTCAGTTTTCATCATAAAAATATACTTTATTATTGACCTTTACAATATGAGAATGCAGGTCTTGCTAACTGATGACTTCAGTGGACTCAGAGTCCACGTGGTGCTGACTTGCCTGAGCACATCTTGCAACGTACGGCCTTCCAATATTGGCAGAGTTGAAGGAAACCTGGAGGTTTTTGGTAACTAATCTTCAAATGAAGTATTTAGAGTATATTGTTACTTTTGTAGGATTGATTCTGTCTGGAACGTGTATTCTTTAGATATGTCAAGATTCCTCCATTGATTTTTAATAACAAACATCTTCGGTAAAACTTGTTTTTTTGTTTGTTGTTTGGTTTTTATGGAGGGGTGGGGGTGTGCAGTTCTCTGAAAACGTTGGGAGTGAAAAGCTGGCAGTGGCCCAAACTGCAGTGCTGCCTTTGCATATGTTCACATTCTTCAGTGAACACCAGCGGGCCCGTCAGTGATTTCCTGCTGTTGGGCCAAACATAGCTAATACCGTTTTATGCTCCCCCTGAGCTGCCAACATGCTACACTACTGAGAGCAATTCCACTGTCCTTTTATTCTAGAGGTAAATCTGTTCTGAACTTTTACGGGAGGAAAACGAGAGTGACTTAAAAAATGCACACAAAAAATCTCCCACTCTTCTTCAATTAACTTATGAACAAAGGAAAACACCACACTTAGGATTGAGTGCTTTAAAACAGTTACTGTCAGTGAGATAGTCCTTTTTCTCCTCAGGTTGCTGAGTTCCTTCTCCAAGTAGCTTGCTGAGGGGTTGGGGAGCTCCCGTAGGAGTGTCTGGTGATGGTGTTTCTGAGGCTTGAGGGTTCTGCCCCATCTCGATAGAAATGCAGAGGAGGCTGCTCCACAGCTGGACACCAGTGAGCTCTGGGACGCCATGAGACTGCCTGCTCCATGTTCTGTGTGGGAGAAGGATGGTGGGAAGAGTGGCTTCCAAACTGTCAATTGATCAGATATGTAAGGGAGGATGCCAGGGCTTAGGCTGAGAAGAGGTGGGTAAAGAAAGGAAAGGGATCCACAAAAGGGAGGAGGGAGGTGCAGGCGTGCATGTATTTTGAAAAGAGCTCATGCACATACAGTTTGGTTGTTATTTAAAAACTTACTGTGGGCAGTTTTCTAAGTGTATTTTGTAAAGCAAGATACACGTTTGGATTGTGTGTAAATAAGTTTAGTAGTTAATAGATAGCATGTAGAATTAAGCATTTTCTTCCTAAGTGAACTCACTGCCAGGATGCACATAAGAATAAAGTCACAGATCATTGCTGGATTCTGAATACAGCTGTAGGATTCCACACTGAAGCACAGCTTTCCTGAAAATAGCCAGCTTAGGTGT